AGGCTATATCCAGCCCCATGCTCTTCTCAGGGCTTCCTCAAATTACGTACAACTCGTTTTCCCCATTGTTTGCTGTATTTGCTAACCTGGGTAACAATCTTGGCATTATTAATGCCAAAGTCAATCTGTAAAAATTTTTAATAATTTTTATGCTTATTTCAGAGACAATAGGAGGTTGAGGAAGCAACAGGGTGCTCCAGTTCTGGGAGGCCCATGGTGGGCCAGATAAATGAGACCTTCAGTAGAACAGCAGAAGGAAGCACTAGAACAGAGGGAGGGACCAGCTGAGTCCATGGAGCTCAGGACCAGAGGGGACAAGCTCAGTTGTTAGCCAGTGTTCAGCGAGACAGGCACTAAAGCAGGGGGCGAGAGGTCCGGTCCAGTGGTAGAGAACAGATGTGTTAAGGAGCTGGACCTCAGTTCAAATCCTGCTTTAAACACTCTCTCATAAAATTGCATCTGAAGTCCTTTGTTTTCTTCTGGTGCTGGGGGCTTGATCGCAGTGCCTTTGCACTAAGCTCCTCCACAGTCCTTTTATATATTTCTTTTAAATTTTGAGACAATGTCTCACTAGGTCACTGAGTGGCCCAGGTTGGGCTCAAACTTGCAATCCTTCTGCCTGAGCCTCCCAGGTGCTGGGATTATAGATATAGGCCACCGAGTGTGGCAAGTTTGTTTTCTCATTTGTAAGAATAAAGGGGACAACACTTACCTCACCAGATTCTGGTGAAGATTAAATCAAGTAACATAAATGCAACGCTTACATAAATGGGTCGTACTAACAGACCAACCCCTTGGCAGGAGGAAAGCTCTGTGGAATGGATCAGAAGTAAATCTGTAGGACTCAGTGACTAGGTGGGAGGGTGAGGGTCAGGGCATGAGCAGAGTGGCTCCTGGGTTGCTGGCTTCGGGGACTAGGGATAGAGCAGGGACAGCGCGAGAGGCAGGACTGGAGGGTGGTAGGGAGCAGCAGGGAAAGTTGGGGTGGTGCTGGTCAATCTGGTTTTGCAGTCAGCTTTCAGGGCACATGGGCCATCTGAGCAGAAGGCTCACTAGATAACTGACACTGACACCAAAGCTCGGGGAGAAGCCTCACTTGGAGATATGGGCTTGAGTCACTGGCACATTAGTGGTACTTAACATCTGGGGACATAGGAGTTGCCCCCAGGAGATAATATAGACTCTTAACCTTCACCAGGGGCCTGAGAAGCCCTGGGAGTCTGGGATGAGCATTAAGACCTGTGAACATTGTGAAATGCTACACAAAATGTTGTCAGCGTGCATTTTCCTAGGCCCAAGTTTTCTATACATTTTCAAAAGAGTCTCTGAGCAACCCGACACCCCCCGACCCCATGGGAAAGTTACAAACTACCAGTGTAGAGGGAGTCACCCCTTGGAGAACACAGATATTTAGTCAGAGATGAAAAAGCAACAGGGAAAGAACAAGAGACCCATGAGGAAGACCAAAGGAGAAGCCGAGAAGCATCTTAATAGTCAGATGCAGCTGCAGAGGGGAGAAGCCCAGAACTAACTCCCCTCAGAGCCTGGGATGCTGCCCGTCTCATTGAAAGCCCAGGGCCCAAGAGAGGAGGGAAGGAGGATGTACACACTGCTGGTGTGGCACAAACCAATGGCTTCATCATGTTTGTCATGAAAAAGGAAGGCTTTGCATAAAGGAACTTTTCTCTGGTAACAATGAGAACCCAGCAAATGAAGGTTCACAAGTCCAAATCTGTTTTAAGGGTGCACAACGCAGCCCCTCCTTTACCCAGCACAATCAGCAGAGCCCAGCCTGCTGCATTAGATCCCATTCATTCAACTGGGACCAGTCCTGGAAAGCCCTCTGTAAGTGGCCACCTTCTGCTTGTGTTACTCAATAAAGACACACGGGGAGAAGACTCCTTGACAGGTCCCCAACACAAGCATATGTTTTAGACATGTGCAAGGCACCTTCAGACAGCAGTCATTTATTTATGAAGCCCCGGTTAAGCTTCACATGCAGCATGCTGGCTCAGAGTGCCAGTTTTGGGAGAATCAGACTCAGTGTCTGTTTGGGCTCTCAATTACCAGTTCTTTTCCCTGAGCAAGTGAGTGAATGGCCCTGAGCTTCACTCTTCTTACTGATTAAATGTAAATAGTAAGTCATGCTTCAGGCTTGGTTGTTATTATTTAATGAGATAATATATTAAAGCATTCAGCTAAGAGTCTGATACACAGCTTAATAAATGCTAGCCGGAGCAACCAGTATTGTTCAGAACTACACTGTCTAAATGTGAACCACATCCTTAATTATAACTTTCCTAGTTGCCACATTAAAAAAATGAAACAAACAAGTGAAATTAATTTTAATAATAGATTCTGCTTTACACATGACAGCCACAATATTATCGTTTCAATACATAATAAATGTATACTTATTAGTGTGATTTTTACTTTCCTCCTACCAAGTCTTTGAAATCCAGCAGCCTACACATCTGGCACACCTCAGCTCAGACACATGCCACATACTCAGTGGCCACAGCCCGGCCACAGCAGTGGGCAGCACAACACCAGCCCTCTAGCTGCTCCCCAGCAAGCACAGGAGCTCTGTACCATTCTCCCACTGTAAGAATCACATTTCCCACTGTCGAAATCAGGAATGATCTGCTCTATTACTGCTTAAATCCATATCTTGCTTGTTTTCCAGCCCCTCCTACATTAGCCCGATTACGAAGCGATAGCCACGTTCCTATGCTATGCAATACACAAACACAGTAGTGATGGCCTCTGAAATTTCATCATAGTGGCCTATCTATTTACAGAGAGGGAAATAAAAGACCAGATGACAATGAAAGAACTTCTGAGTGATGAGCAGAAAGGTGTTAAGAAATGGGGGATGAACATCATATGCTATATTCAGAGAAAATGTCAAACTCCAAAGCCATAACCTGGCTACCAACTGCTATGAAAAAACAGAATTTAGCTCAGAGTAAGCCAGGGGTTAAGTATAGACTGGGGAGGCAGAGAGCACAGATGTGAAAGGAGGAAATGCACACAAAGTCTCAGCTCACAAAGGCCACAGGCTTAGTAGGTCCCTAACTCAGCACCTCTAAGCAGCACCTGCCAGGATGGTACCACCTTGGCCTGTCTGAGGCTTTACTTCAAAGCCAGAGGAAGATAGAAGAATGGAGTAGTGCACTGTGTTTAGGGGAAGTGGGAGAAATCTTTCCTCCTTCTGTTATCAGAAGAGGAGTTGGTTTAATGCAAGCTACATTTTTCCAGGTGTTAACAAAGTTAAGGGGGTAATAAACATTTGACCCCAAATAGTGATAGAACTGTCACCACGTATATCAACATACTTTGTTCATTGTCATTTAACTGTAAAAATAGCACAGGTTTTCTGAAAGGTAGATTCAAAATTCTACAAAGCAAAAATTTAAGCAAGGAAACTGAAATTATTATCTTAAGTTATCACAAGTAGAGCAACTTACCAAGCACAAGAAGCCCTCAGTCTACTAAAGGATTATGGCCATTGACTTTAGGGGCAAGAGTCTTTCAGCTCTCCCACTTCCTCAAGGTTACCCCACCACACCGACATATTATGTTCACAATGACCATGGTGCCCAGAAGGGACCCAGCTATATCTGATAAGTTCTCACTAAGGAATGCAAGGGGGTGTGAAAATTAGTTTGAAAAGACAAAGGCTTATGCTTCAGGCTGGACATGTTACTTATTGAAGGAAAATTCTATTTTGGAGAGTACAATATGAAATCAGACAGATCTGGACATGTATTGAAGTGACTTTGCAACATAGTGCCATCTGCCCTGAGTCTGGGTTTCTTCATCTATGAAGCTGGATAATAAAAACTGACTTTGTAGAAATTGTGTGAAGACGAATATATGTAAAGTGCTTCATAGAAACACTGAAACATCAGCAGAACCTGCGATTATAGGTACTCACTTTATATTATAATATAATAACAAATGAGATACTCATGTTTATTTCTTTATCAGTATAAAAGCTTCATTGAAAGAAAATTGAGTGAAAGACAGTGTAAGGCAAAAGTGACTAAGCTGACTTTCGTTTTGAACTTATGTGTATACCAAGCATGCAAATAAGATTTATTTTCTCAGTCTCTGAAAACCTGAGTGATTTTATAAAATTTACTTTCCTTTGTTCAATAAAAAATAAGAAGAAGAAATTGGTCTTCAGTGCCTCTGTAACCAACCTTGGAAACCACACAGTTTTTAACAACTTAGCTGGTCACCTATGAGAGAATCTGTGTGTATGGGTTGGGGGGTGTTGAGGGTAGAAAGGGGCAGGACTTTGTGTGTGCTTTTCAATGTCTGCTCATATATACGATAGATCCTCGCATAGAAAGAATTTCTCCCTCATGGCCTCAAAGGAACCCTCTGAAACTACAGGGATTCCTTCAGTTACAAAGGAGTATGTTTGAAAAATTTAGTGCCCTTAAAAAAATAACACTATGAAATTTTCCCTTATAGCAGCTCCTTACATTTTAAGAGGGGGTATTCCCTAAAATGAATAATGTACAATCTCTTGAGGTCTAAGAAACACAAATACAATGACTGTAAAGATGCTGATATAAATACTTTGAATGCTCTACAACAATAAGGAGGTAGAGACCTTTCCTAATTTAATACCCCTCAGGTCAAACCCCAGAGGAGACTGGGGGTAAAACTCAGGGCCTCATGCATGCTAAGCAAGTGCTCTACTACTGAACTACATCCCCAGTCCCTAGAGGTGACTTCTGATTGCAGTCGAGAGTCAGTCTAGTTTCAAGTAAGAGATTTGCATTTGGCTCTGCAACTCCATGCTAAGTTCTGTGCTCACCTGCATATGCAGGTTTCAAGCTGATAAACTGCACTACTTTTGTCTCAATAACATTTAGGATTCATCTACCAAGTTCCAACTCACACCTGGCTAGCTTGTGACTGGTGTGAACTGTTACAAGCCTGGATCTGTTCTGCTAACACAGTGAAGCAGTGGCTAGGTTTACCTTTCTTTGGTCTGGATTTCACTGGCACAGACTCCTTTCTTTCCATGGCTGCTTCTCTTTCTTTCCATCGCCGGATCTGTTCCTCTCTCATCTTGAAGAACAGGATCTGTTTCTGCTCTTCACTGAGCTCCGCCAGAAGGTCGGGATCTATGTACATCTCCGACAGTATCTGTCTCAGCATCTTAGCAGGTCAAGAGTCTTTTACACCTGTGGCAAAAGTTCCTGAAAATGGCGTGCAGATGTGCTCCACCCAGGGTGGCACTTGGGCACCTCCACAGTCTCTCCCGGAGACTCACAACCCCGCAATCTGGACTGACTCTGGTATAGGAATTCTGCAAACTGGCTCCTGGGAGCTGGCACCAAACACCCTGTCTTAAACGCCGCTCAAGGATCCTGCAAAGATCAACAGCCCAAATCAGTCGGCATTAAAATGCAAAGAAGCTGGGCAGACACATGCTTCTACATAAAGCTTGGAGGAAATACAGTATCATTTTTCATTTCAGGGAGAAAGAGAAGAAAAGCTGAGGTACACTTTGTGAAGAGTTTGTGTAACCTCTATCCCATAATTTCCAAAGATACTTTATCAAAAACGTAGAACAAACCCTAAATTTATACGGGTCAATCTCAGGGAAACAAAAATCCAACAGAGGTTTGGACTTCTCCCAACTGGGCAAACACATTATTACCTCAGAGCCTACAAACCCACCGACTGTGTGGCTGAAAAAAAAATTGACCAAAAAAGCCCCAGGAAGAAATTTGAAGGCTCTCTTCAAACAACCTATTTCAAAAGAAAATACTATTTGTGAGATTTCACACTGGCACTCACCCCAAACCAAACCAAAACAGAGCCTTGCTCAAAGAAGACAAAAACAGAAATAAAAATTAGACCATCATGCAGTTTTTTGCATTTTCCTTAAAAGTAGTGCTAAAAAGATGCAATGGTGAGCTTTCAACTTCAAAAAGGGTGCTACAATTTCCAGGCAGGCTGCTAAAGCCATGAGAGCAGAACAGGAGGAAAAGAGAACATTCATGTGTTCTGGAAGGGCACCAGGTTTTAGGCGTACCTTTTCCAGATAACCTAATTTAATAAAATCTAAATCGACAGGTCAGATACACTGGGGGAAGGAAGAGGTCATGCGGTTCATAACAAAGGATTTTTGATTTGGAAAAGTTTACTAGAAAGTGCATTTTAAAAGATGCTATGGGCATGGGAACACATGGTAGGTTCAGAGGTAGGGGTAGAGGTAAGGTAAGGCAGCAAATCCGCTAGGTCTCATTCTACTTTACACACTTCCACTTGGTTCAATTGAGGAAAAAAAAACAAAAACCTTCATTTTTGTATCATAGAAAGGAAATTATGTTTATATTTTTCCATTCTGGAAAAAAAACGATATTTTATTTGTTTCAATGCCTTACTATGATTCAAGATCGCCTATGTTCTAAAAACTCGATTTTTAATTTCGTGTTTACAATGTGGCAATAATCTCACTCTCTAGCCACACCCTCTCAAATATCTTGTTTCTCTATGCTAAATTCAAATGCTCTCAAACATGAGACTTACTGGTCCCTCAGCCATACGATGGACACAGTGGCTTTGGAGCCTCTTATTTCCTTCACTTTGGTGTACAGCTAGGTTTTTAAGGCTCCCATCAGCACCTGGGGGCTTTTCCTTCCCCTCTTCCTCCTCTCCTTTGCACAGTTGCTTCTTACAACCTTTCGAGATGAGCACACTCAGTAGACAGGGACCAGAGAGGTGTGTACGCCATTGACACTACACCCTTCTTCCTGCACCCTGTACTCTCCCATAGCATTTGACTACCAGCATCCAAATGGAACAAAATACTAAAGAACATTTGAAAAAAAATAAAAGCAGTGTCACTGACCATCTCAGTCAATCATGCCCCTCCACCCCTCCCGGGCCCTCTGGCTAATGTCTTTTTTTGCTTTGGGATGACCCTCAAAAACTTCCACAGCACAGAAGTGACATCTAGTAATGATTTCCTGATGTATCGATTTTAAGCAAAGTGAATGACTCCTTAACATTCCAGGAAACATTCTTATGTGGGCACATTCCATGACTGCAGTGGTTGACTCCCACAGGAATAAAGCAGGGCCGAAAATGAGTGACCAGTGAAGTGTGAGTCTGCTTCTCTGCACTTTGAATGGGGTGCATCCTACTCCAGGGTTGGGTCGTTAAAACCTAACATCTTTCAAGTGCCCAGTTCACATTGTTCCCTTCCCCCTTGCCCAGAGCAACCCTAGTGACAAAGCCAACACTTCCCACGCTCACTCCCGTGAGCACTTTACATGCCTTAACTCACTGCATCCTGGCAGCAGCACTTGAGTTCAGTCCCATTTCACAAAGGTGGAAGATGGAGCCCAGAGGTTCATTAGCTGGGATGTGGCACAGGTAGGCAGCTTGAGATGATAACTGTGCTGCTGTATCCCACAGCACAGAAGGCTTTTTTGTGTCTTTGACCCAGAATCAGCACCTCATCACTTTGTGGTGTCCCATGTGAACTTTCAGAGGGAAGAACTGCAAATCCCCACAGTAAGGTACTGCTGAATGGAGGGTACTTGACTCAAGTGCCTCTCAGGACCAACAGCTCCAACCTGGTCAACTGCAGGTAAGTTCCTAGGTATCGAAAACATCCCAGCCAGGAGGGACAGCAGGGCTCTGACAGCCACAGTGGCCCTGGTGCCGATGTTTATTCACCAGCCACTTATTCCACTGCTGTCCCCTTCTGACCAACCGCCTGAAACAGAGCAAAGGGTACAGCGCTGTGGGGAAGAATTCCATGGCACCTGTGACAAAACGCCCACGCTCTTTCAGTTTTCATTTTGCTTTATTTCTCCTTTTGTAGCAAACATGGCTTTCTAGCATTAAAATTAACTGGTCAATCTGGAAGAAAAGACACAGGTGTCCTCAGGAAGTACCCAGGCAACCCACTGGACAACTGTCTGTGGCCAGGCTGCTGGGTATGCACGCCACTCTGTGCCCGAGAGTCCACCTGGTGTGAAGGAACTCTCCCTCCACCTCGAGGCTTTCCCATGGCCAAGTGCACAGCAGGCAACGTGCCCACAGGGTACCTAACCAGCAGGCCTGAAGCTTATCACTTTGGGCTGTCACTTCATAGCCTTGGGCTCATTTTGCCCAGCCATGAACCTAAGTCCAGTTCAGTCTGAGAATCTACATAATCCGGGGGTAATATAATATAATATAATATAATATAATACAATGTGAAGTTATGAAGACACATAGAGCCAGGGTACCGGAAAGAGAAATGAGGAAATTAACCAGGGTTTTCCCCACTCTCACTCCCTAACTGGACAAACAGTCACAACCAATGCTGATTCACACTCCAATTCCCACCCTCTTCCAGTTATTCCAGAGCCAATAAAAAGAAAAGCTCAGCTAACTCAGTTTTCTTCTTCTGTGGCCCCTTTCTTAAAAGAGAGAAAAGACCAGCAACAAGCCCACACCTGCCATTTATACCAAGACCAATTTGTAAAGGCCCATAGGGCCAGTTCAGTTTTCCACAATACCCATACATCGGACCTGATTTTCACACATTCCATAGCCACCCTTCAGTGATACAATGGTGTTTTTAATAAATCTGAGACCTAAAAAACAAAAACGTCCGAGACACAGCCTAAATCATAAAAAATTGAAGTATGGGTGGTATATTTTTCAAGTTAATAATATGGTTTGATTTGTGATTCATTTAAAACAGGCAGTTCTGTTTTTGGACTTTCATTTGCTTTATTTAAATTAATTTTACTAAGCTACCTGCCAAAGGGCTGTGTTGAGGATAAAATGAATTAGCACAGAGGACTGCAATTTGGTAAATTTTGCAAATATGAATCATTCTTCAGAAATGTGAAATTACTGCAACTGCAGATTTACCTAGAAAATTCCACTTTTGTGCCAATTGATGCCCAACTATGTCTTCCGCTTATTTATTCAATTAAAAAATCGTATCCACGTTGTTTCTTTTACACAAGCAATCAAATGAAAGCCTTTTGGTAGGCAAAGAGAATCTTTGCTTAGAAGGAGGCAGATGCCACCTTGCTTCTGTGAGACGCTTGGGAAAAGAGAGACCACTCAGAAAACGTATGAACTGTGACTCCTTAGGGTACCCACGAACCCCCAGAGTAGGAGAGGTCAAGGGTGCTCACTCAGGTGAGGAAGGCCATGGCCCAACTGGCTGGGGGGCTTTTTTGGGTCAGTCTTCAACTGGGTCCCCTACCCAATAGGGCAATGCGGCCGCACCCACCTCGCCCACCGTGCCCAGGCCCCGCGTGGGGGCGCCCCTGGGTGCTTTCTCAGGGAAGGTGCTGGGAGTGCAGCCAGCGCAGGCAGAAACCGGTTCCCAGGATCTCCGCCTAGCAGGTCCACAAGGCCTTACCCTGTGAGCGTGCCAGCGCTGCCTGCAGGTCCACCCGCCGGAGAGGAGCGGGCTGTCGCGCACACAGAGGACGCGAGAGGCTGCGACAGCAGGGCGCGCACAGCCGGACGCTGAGTTATTACCACCGTCTAGAAACCCCACACTACTCAGATCCTCCCATGCGGCCACGCGGGCTGCCCAGCTCCCGGGCCCTGCCCGGAGTGAGCAAGCGCCGCGCCCAGATCGCAAACTTGCCGGGAGCACGCCCGAGGCCCCTCGCGCTTCCTCCAGGGGCTCCTGCCCCACTCACCCAGCACCCAGCACGCGGCTCCAGACATCAGACACCGACACCGGACACCGGCCGCGCTCTCGGCTCCCTCCGCCCCTGAGCCCGCCCGGTGCGGAGGAGGGACTGGGAGGGGAGCGCCATGGCAGGGACCCTGGCCTCGCCTCGCCGCCCGCCTCCCACGCTGCCCCTCGAAGACCCGCTTCCCCTGCGAGCGAGCGAGCGCGCGCACACACAAACACACACACACACACACACACACACACACACCTAGATTTCTCCAGGTTCCCCTTTCCAGCCTCTGCCCTGTCCCCGGCGCCTGGGCTCACCTGGGCAGGTGACCGGACAACCTGCCACGTCCACTTGGGCCGCCAGAGGCTGTCGCTGAAGGGCAGAGTGGGGAAAAGCAGCGGCGCCTAGGAGCGCTGCAGGCTGCTGGACAAACAGCCGTGCCGGGAGGGCGCTCTGCGTCCGGCCCGCCCCGCCGCGCCCAGTGCCCGGGTGGCTGACTGCTCTCGCCGCGCCCCACGCGGGCGCTGGAGACGCTCTGGGCCCTTGCCGGGAGGCTTGGCGGCCCGCGCGATCTCAGGCTGGCTGGCCGGTTCGGGGCGGCAGGGCCACCCGCACTCCTCCCCTAGTTAAGCGGGTGGTGCCGGCAGCCTGTGACTGCCGTGCCGCTTCTCTCTCGGGCCCTGAAACTTTTATTAATAACAAAGGTCCGGCGCGTTTGGCCCTGCAGAGCGCGCGCTAAGGAGTCCACGACTCTTCTAGGTTACTCCGTTCCGTAGGCCCAAACTCGGACATTTGTCAGTATAGGTGTGGCTTTGCAGGACAAGTCAAGAAGGAGAAAGGCCAGGAAGTAAGAGACTAAAGCCTACTGCAAGAGGAAGCAATAGAAAACTGGAGAAAAGGCAAGAAGGTAAAGGAACCTTATGAATCGAAGCTAGAAAGGCCTGGGCTGGTCACCCAGAGGGCAGGAGGCTGACGAGGGGCAGCCGAAGGAAATCTTGGAGGAGAGTTGAGCAGAAGCAGAGTGGAAAGGTTGGAGAGCATTTCCCACTGTAGAGGAACGTCCAGAATGTGGGGAGGGAAATGGCGGGCTTGGGGACCCCCAGATTGTGGGTGCTGGGGCGAAACAATAAACAGGGTGCAGACAGCAGAACTCCACACAGCCACCTGGGCTATTCAGGAGCCAGGCGTGCAGGCTGAACACGAAGTCGGTCTCAGTCCTGCCTCTCCAGACTGCAGATGGCCTGGGAGTCACAGCTGTGGGGCAGAGATGTCCTCACATGCTCAGGAAAGAGACCCAGCTATTCAGAAACATCCCAGGATACTGTCTAAACTGCTGCCCCTGCTAAGTGAGAAGTGCTTCCGGCTGTGATTTGCCTCTAGTGAGCTGAATCCTAGCACTTCCTGGACAGAACAGTTACAGAAAGACAAAGGTAGATACAGTAATGAGAAACAGGGAGATACATCTTTTGCAAACAGGTAGAGCACCAAAGAGATGGAGGGAGAGGGAGAGAGAGGGAAAAGGACTTTCAAAAATAAAGATGTGTTATGCATTTGTGCCAACTCCCCACAATGCATATTACCATTGTGTACTCCAAACATGTATTAATAAAAATTAAAATTAATAAAAATTTAAAACAGAACATCAAAGGTGGAAATTTTCCACTATGGAAATTACTATGGAGAGTCCTCGAAAAGCTAACAGTGGTGATTTCATTTTGTTACAGCTGCTTAGGTTCAGCATTGCAAATTAGAACTTTGAAAATTAGATTGTTTTCTTATAGAAATATGCAGTTTCTCCAGACTTCCTCCCGTTGAGCATGTATCCAACACCTCCTCTTCATGTCAGCCCAGAAAAAGAATATGCAAGTGCTGGCCTGAGGAGGCAGGAGTCCAGGTTCCTCTCCACAAGAAAGGAATCCACGGGCCAGAGATGTACCTCAGAGGCACAGTGCCTGCCTGGAAAGCACGAGGCCCTGAGTTCGATTCCCAAGAAAGGGACCGGTGAGCTGAAGATGGCGGAAAATTATAAAGCAAGCATGGAGACCCTCATTGTCTCTCTGTGCTCCCCTCCTCTCTGTTCCTTACTATAAAAACTCTAACCCACCTGTACATGGGGATATGGTGATTTGAAGCAAGTAGGCCCTTCCATCTCTGCAGAACTGGCTTTGAACAAATCCTTTAACCTTTTTACCAAAAAAAAAAAATGACCTACTTTGATTTGGTCAGTAGCAAGCAAACAACTCTGCGTGTATGATACCAAGTGGCTGGCAATTTGACTCAGCTATACTTTTGATACTATATTCCCAAATGAGTCAAAGACATCACACTGTATTGATACACACATACCACACACCCATGTTTATAGCAGTGTGACTCACTACACACAATAGCGAAGCTCTGACCAAAGGCTAGATGCCCATCAACAGACAAATGAATGAAGACAATGTGGTGTATATACAGAATGGAGTAAGAAGAATGAAATCTGCCATTTGCAGGAAAAGGAATGGAGCTTGAGACCATATACTTATTGTTAAGTGAAATAAGACAGATGACATCGGGCGCGTTCAGGGTGGTGTGGCCATAGACGTGAAATAAGACAGACACAGAGAGTTAGGTATCATATGGTTCTCTTACATGAGAAGCCTAAAACATAAATTAAGAATTAAAAAAGGAGAAATGATAGGCAACAAAAAGATAGACTTGTTGGAGATGGGAAAAGGGATAGGGAGGAGGAGGAGGCTGGGAGGAGGAGTAAAGGAACCCAAAATGACCAAGATATGCTATATCTGCATACTAGTTCCCTAAAAGTATTGTAACTCTGATGTTCCAAACGTGCACTAATTAAAAAAAATTAAAGAGAACTTCAAAGGGTGGTGGTCAGCCAGGAAAAATCCCCCAGGACACTGATAATAGGCAGTTACTCTCGAGTACACTTAGTCTTTACCCATGACCTGACAAGCCGCCTTGTACTGTAGATTGAACCCAGGCCTTTGCACTGAGCTATTACCGCCCCCTACACACACACACACACACACACACACACACACACACACACAAATAAACACACTAAATTGCTAAGGCTGGGCTTGAGCTTCCAATCTTTCTGCCTCAGCCTCTCAGAGAGCTGGGATTATGGGCATTGTCACCAAGCCTGGCTTTATGACAGCTGTCTCATTGTGCACCTCTGTGTACCTCCGTTTCTCCTTCTAGATAGCAGCACTGCTCAGTGCATTCAGTTGTTATGAGATTAAATGAGACAACACAGGCGATGTGCTTAGGCTAGTCCCAGGCATGCAGTAATGTGGGACAGGGTTCAAGGATTTTTCCCTAAAGCAGAGAGAGGAACATTGAATTATTCCACCTAAGGGGCATTTCAGGTTGGCTGACTTCCATCCACACAAAAAGAATTTTCAAAACAAGGCAGGAAGCACAGGCCCAGAGCTCAGTTTACAGATTTTTTTGTCTTTGAGACTCTAAGGAATTTTCCCTGGAAGGGAAAAAAGCTTGAATAGCTTTTGTGTCCTAAAGCTGCAGTTTTTCTTATAAGTACAATTTAAAAATTGTCCTTGTCAAAATTTAGCAGTGAACACATCCAAGAGCCACTCCAGGAACACTTTCCAGGTGCCAGGCCCTATGGTAACACTGGGTGACATCTGAGAGTTGACAGTTTGCGTCCTTGTGGCCATGGCACTGCCATATTGTTATGGTTTAGATCTAGAATGTTCCTCAAAAGCCTCATGTGACTGGAGGATCATGGGGGCCCAGTACTCATCAGTGGAGTAATCCAGTGAGGAATCCATGGCGGAATGTACTGGTAGGAGGAGGGCCTGGCCAGAAGAGGAGGGTCACTGGGATGGGACAGGACTCAGAAGGATGTACTTCCCTCCCTGACTCCTCCCTTCTCTCTCAGCTTCCTGCCTGCCCTGTCATGAGCAGATGTCCTCCATGAGTCCTTTCTGACTTGTCCTTTCTGCCTGAGAACCAGCCTACTGTGGACTGAATCCTCTAAAAACCGTGAGCCAGAATAAACCTCTCCTTTTGGTTGGGGATGTCCGGTATTGTGTCTAGTGAAGAGAAAGTCATTACGACAGATTGCTGCCATGTACACGAGCTATCTGTATATTTAGGTCCCCTTCAAAATCATAAATACCGTGATGGTAAGGACTGTATCCTACTGGAAAATCTGAATCCTACCCAGTGTAGAAGGTAGGCATTGGCATTCAGTGCATGTTAGTTGAATGAATGTTAGCCCAAACTGACACAGACTGTACAAAAATATTGCAATCGTTCGTGGAACTTGGAACCAAGAGTTTTCCTCCTTTTCTTTCACTGTTCCCTTTCCATCTCTCTTGTGCTCAAAAAGCTAAACATCTATTTACAATGTAGTAAGATTTTTACGTTGTCACTTATTTATAGTAACAGGTATGAAACAAACAGCCTATATTTTGATGGCTGTGTTCCTTGGCATTTCTTTTAGAACGCTACTTGGGAACACTGCTGCCCAGGACTGTGAAACACAATCACACAGTGTGGTTTTTGTAGAGCTGGCGTGGGGGGAGCAGTACAGAGACTGCAATGTATAAGTTGCCCCTGGAGTTGTCACTGGAGAACAGCAACCCTCTCAGAAAGATGAGAGGATACTTTTCACTCTTTCTAAATTAAAGGTCAATTTATGTTTCAGTTCTCCAGAAAATAAAAGTTATCTTCAAATTTTTCCAGTACAGAAGAAAGTGAAAGCTGGGTGCAATAGCACACACCTGTAATCCCAGCACTCTGGAAGGCTGAGGCGGGAGAATCACAAGTTTGAGAGTAGTCTGGTCAACTTTGGGACTTAATGAGACCCTGTCTCAAAACAAAATTTATGAAAGGGCGAGGGACGTAGCTCAGTGCAAAGGGCCTGGATTGAATCTCTAGTATCATCAGATAGAAAGAAAAAGAAAAAGAAAAAGGAAGAATATGCACCAGTAATATTTTCCCGTCATATTTCCTTATCAGCATCAGAAAGCTCAGTAACTTTTTTAACTCTTTAGGAGGTAAGTTATACATTTGTTCCTCAGTGAATGTGACCTAGATATGAATAGAAAATATGAAAACATGTAAACTTTACTAAAAGTTGGTCAGATCTCAAAATAAAACTTCTTCCAATCCATCAACCATAAAAAATTAAATGTACTAATAATCTACTATGTGCTTAGCTCTCTGACAGCAGTTTGATTTGATTTTGAGCTATTGTCATTCCTTTATGACCCTGTGGAGGCATTTATTGTTTTATCTTCATAAATACCAAGATAAATCATTGGTCTTTCCATTAACTTTGAGTCAATTATTCTTTTTTTTATGAGATACCTTCATGGAATTGTTTTCTTAGAATCCAGTCTGGCTGACTAGGAAGACCTTTCTGGATTCGTGTACTTCTATAATGCAGTGAGAAAAAGCCTGTGACCCGGAGAACTGCTGGGTTGAAGATGGGGGTAGAATTAGACAACACCTACCCACATGATCAGAGACATCTTCAAGTAGCCTCTGGTAACCATGGCAATTTCACAAGTCAAAGCTATGAGAAACAGCAGAAGCAAGTTCCTCGTAGTATTCCAGCATTCCTTGGGTCTTCCCAGGTAGCTTTGAGTAGATCTATTAGGTACAATAAAATCAAAATATCATCTCTTGGGCTGGGGATTTAGCCCAGTGGTTCCGCCGCCTGC